TTGGCTAACGACTCATCTAATTTTTAAAAAATATTTTATTTCTAAAAAAATATCTTTTTTTGAATTTTTGCCATCGCAATGCAAACATTCCTTTCTTTATATTATGAATTATCTCCTCCTCATATTCTCCTTATTCACTTCTACTATTGGTACTTGCAAATTACAATTTAGGTTACTTTTAAGTTTGTCAATGTTACTTTTATAGTCAAAGATCTCTTCCATTAAAAAAAGCCATTGTTTTCCTCTTCTTTCACTCTTTCTAAATTCATCAACGACAACATTTTAAAAGTAAATTTTTTTTTCTCTTTTTTATTCTCCTTTTTTCTCTTTTCATCCACTTTTAAATATATATTAAAATAATTTTATTTATTTATTTTTATATTTCTATTCATTTCCTCATCCTCTATTCATATATTAAAAGAAAATACTCTCAAGCAACGTCTATTTTTATTTTTATTTTTTCTTTTCATTGTTCTTCTCGTAATATTTTTGTTTATTAATAAACTTTTTCTTCTTTTTATGATAAATAAAAATATATTGATTATTTATTTTTACTTTCATTTATTTTATTATAAAATTTTATTAATTTTATATTTCTTGATTATTTCTTTTTGAACAAAAAAAAATCCTAATATTTATGGTAAAGCTCTGACTTAATTATTCAATGTTATGTTCTTATATATGAATATTTTGGGTGTATTTTTTTAATGTATTTTGCCATTTATGTTCTTTGTATTTATGTTTTTTGTTTTCCTTTTTCTATGCATTCATACTTTTATACACAAAACTTTTGTTTCTGGATGTGTTCTATATAATTCTTCCATAAATATTATACTTTTTTCTTCTTTTTTCATCATTTTGTCATAAATTTGATTCATCTCTTATGAATTGGCATTTTTGTTTTTATTTTTACAGAAAGAGGACTATATGCATGGTTCAGTTTTTCCACCACAGATATAAGTGTTTTTTTTTTTCTTTTGTTTATTTTAATATAAAGTTTATTAATCTCCTATTTACTGATGATTTTTTTAAAATAAGGCCTAATATTTACGGTTCAAATCTTTGACTCAGGTATGACTTTTAACGTAAAGTTAATTATTTTTTTATTACGTGACCATTTTTGTTCTACGTATCTGTGCATTTATGCGTTCATACACGAATAACGAATTTATCTTTTTGTTTTGATATAACCTTTTTTTTGTGTTCTATATAATTTTCTTCCACAAAGATTAGACTTTTTTTTCTTCTTCTTTTATTCTATTTTTTAATATTAATTTTCTCTTTACTCAAGTTAATTTTCTCCTTACTCAATCATTAAATGTTATGTTCTGAAATACGCACATGGTTGTTATATTTATGAAAGTATTATACCATTTTATTATGCTATTTTTGTCCGTATTCTGATTTTTTTTCATATTTTTTATGTTCTGAATATTTTTGTTTACTTATGTTCTAAATGTTTTTTGTTTATATACCAAAATATTTTTTTTTTTTGCTGAGCAAAATAATTTTTTTTTGTATTTATATTTTCTGCACGGTGTCATGAAGTATGAGAATGATACATATATCTACGAAATCAAGATTTAGAAATTGGAAATTGATATTTGTTAGGAAGTTTTTATTTTTTTATAAATTTATGAATTGTCTTGATATGTTTTGCTATGAATTTGAAATTCAATATAAACCTCAATTTTTTATGCAAAATTATTTATTTTTAAAATTCTTCCCATACCAACCATATCTTATGCAAATATTCTGAAGGTATTTCGAAATTTTAGTTTATATATCAAAACTATGAGCATTATTGTTATCATTCATATAAGAGTTTAATTTTAATATATTTTTAATATTAAAATCATTATACTGTATAATTTTAAACTAATTATTTTAAATTAAAAATTATGATCAAATTATTTTATCCTGTAGGTGTATTTTAATTTAATTATTTTTATTTAATATCAATATTTTTATTATAAATTTAATATCATAGATTAAATTACATTCAAATATACTTCTTAAGTACATTAATGTTTTTTTTTTTTATGTTTTGCATCCATTTCATACAGTAGTAACACATATCCTCTTTATTGAAATTTTATTTTTATAATAAAAATATTATTTAACATATATTATGCATATTAATAATTATTTATTTTTTCTTTTATTATAAGTCTTACATTATTATTATTATTATTATTATTATTATTATCTTCCTGTGATGATAGTATCATAATAAATAAGAATATAAAATGAATTTAGTAATTAATATTTTTGCAAATAATTTTTATTTAAAATATTAATAATTGTTCTTATAAACATGGAAAGTAGTAGTTTTTCCTTAAATGTTGGACAGCAATATGGCCATAGCTAATAATATTTTCATCCATGAACATTTTGAAACATCAACTTTTGTGAAGAAATAAGCGTAAACTTGAAAATTACTCTAGCCTCACAATTGTAGAGACACCTATTGAATAAAACCTTAAAGTCAGTTTTTTTTTTTTTGGCTCAAATAATAAGAAAGATGGTAAACATTCTAGTTAATATGCCATAAGCAAAGTAGGTGTTGAGATTAAAGAAGCCATTACTTGACACTAATAAGTAAAAAATGTTTTAGGTTGCAACCTATCTGTTGCTTTCAAAAATTATCCAAATAATTAAAGAAATGACTATGTTGTCTTGTCTAATAAGAAAGCAGAATAAAAAATTGTTTCTTCCCCATCTCAAAAAAGGCTAAATTTTTAGGATAAAGAGAACTTAAGAATTATTTATTTTGAATTATTATTATTATTAAATGAAAAGTACTATTGTCTACAATGAGTTAGGAGAGTATTTTACTAAAATTTTCTGGTTGTCTTGACCTTTGAAGTTAAAAAAATCAAGTTAACACCTAAAAATTGGTTAGTTGTGGTTGGATTAGAAAGGAAAAATAATATTTCACTACTAATACATCTTACTATATAGTGAATTCAATAAGAAAAGTATTTAGAGGACAAGACTTAGAAATCTTGGAAATGTTACTAGAAGGTTTCTGATCGATTAGTGATTTGTCCACATAGGATAGACCGATACATTTTGCTGTTCTATGGGTTCTCACTCCCAAGGGAGTAACCACGTCCAAATGACCATTGATGATTTACTTTTACATTATGGTTTTAAAATCTTGATATTGATTGAACTTTTGTGATATAGGAGCATATTCTCAAGTGCCAAAGATTGGATGATATTAAGCTTTACCCATGGGATATTCATCTATAGACTTATTATTTGTTAAGCACCTAAATCTCTATCATTTGCTCCCGTAACTTCTCATCTTTTGGGAGTAACTATTGAGCAATTTTATTGTAGACTTAAAATATGGATATGAATACAAAAATTATAATATCGTCCAAATTGCACCTATTATTGCCCTTAGCCACATATATGCTATTGTTACTATTACAGTCATCATATCTATCATTTAAAAAAAAAAAGAGAGAAGTGTTATGATATAACATGTTTATAAGGCCATATTCTTGTTATATATCATTGTGATAGTGGCAACTCCTATTACTATTAATTTAAATGTTATCTTAATCATAACATGTGTTTGGATAAATAAATATATTTAATACTGAATCAATAAGTTTGGCCAAAGTTTCACATTATTTTTCAAGTTATTTAGTGGTTTATTTTAAGAAGTGTCCTTATATTTTCAATTAAAACTTCATTTTTCACGTAGATGGAATGAGTCGGTATATATATATATATATATATTAACCTTTGGTGAGTCAAATTTTGTGTAGCAATTTAAGAATTCACTAAATGGTACTAAATGAATATTTTTTATTTTTCAGTCTTTCTGTGAACAATTAAATTATAATTTCTTTACAAAATGTGTATATTATTCATTTAGCATCCGTATTTTTTTTCCCACCCTTTACAACTTTTAAAGCATATGACAAATGTTGAGCAACATGAAGAGAGGGGGTCGGATTATAACACAAGATGTAAGAAAAAAACACTACAAGAAATTAAAAAATGTGAAATATCAAGGTCATGTCAATTTATAAGCATTTATATTTTTTTATGATTTTAGGAAATATTTGTGTTAGTTTTTTTTTAAAAAGGAATTAGTATGTATTTTAACACTTAAAATTACGCTGTATATATGTTTATATATGCAGATAAAAAGTTGGTACAACTACGTATGTGTGTGTGCATGCAAGTAACTAATACGTTGCTATTTAATCTATTAATACGTGTATTCTCATTTCTTTAAAATTATTTTTGCATATATATTATTATACAAATAATTTCTTTAATTATTTTAAATATAATTCAATATATGTATGCACGAGTAATACCTGCTGTGTGTGTAGATAATTCCTTTCGATTACCCTAAAATATTATAAAAATTAAGAAATTAAGAGTTGATTTTTAATTTCTCATAATGAAATACTTATTTTATATTTAAAGGAAAACTAATGCTAAAGACCATTGTGGAGTAGTATTTATTTTTTATTTAAAAAAGAGAATGCGATTCTCATAATTTATGAATAAAAATAGTAATAATTAAAAAAACAATTAATGCTGGATCGGAGAAAAACTTTTGAACAATTCCAGAACCCACTTTTGGGGGAATAGGCTTGTAATAACTATCAAAGTGTTGAGAATGTCGTGTGCATTTCCCATATGTTCCTTTTCGACATCATTTCCTAGTTTTTAGGATCTTTTAGATTTTCAAAATCTTGAATATGACTATTTTTCCTTCCAAAGATAGAGTTCACTTTTCAACTATAATACTCCTACTTACTCGTTGGAACTCAAACAGTAAAACTCCTCAATTATCTAACACTTGTTTTGTGGTCATTTGACAATACACATATTTCTTTTTAAATTAATATAAAAATATATGAATTGCACATTAATTAAAATCCATTTATAATTCTATAAACTCGTGCTATTTAGATAACACAAAATGTATATGAATTTTAATACAACACTTAAAAAAAGAAAACATGAATCAGGAGGGAGTAAAATGTGGAAAGGAGCAGACAAATAAGGAGGTTAGAGAGAAAAATTGGGGTAGACTTAAGTAACAGATTCATATTTGTCCCACTCAGCATTATTCAAATCTCTTACTTCAAACCTGCTATTCCTTAAGCTTCGGAGGCCATGACTAATTCAGTACCTTATTAGGTTCTTTAAATACCTTAATACAGTAATATTAACCAACAGAAGAAAAGCTCACTTACTATTCTTCAATAACCTTGGTATTGAGAGGAGAGTCTGCAAGTAACCCTTTGACAAATGGTATATACAACTCACCATTCAATTCTTAATTAATTTTCTTTTGCTTCATTCATGCCATGTCTCTCAATGATTCACCAAGTTTTATAATGTTCAACATGATGTTATTTCTGGTTTCAGGAGAACCGTGGCAATGATGGAAATGAAACTAGGCCAACTAGTAATCAAGAAAAGCTGGAAAACTGGTTGCCCATCACTGCATCTAGAAAAGCAAAATGGTGGTATTCAACTTTCCACAATGTCACAGCCATGGTGGGTGCTGGCGTGCTAGGTTTGCCATATGCTATATCCCAGCTTGGATGGTATGTATAGAATGATACATAGAATTATATATAGATTATTATTTTAACAGATGCTTGATTTTACTATTTTTATTTTTTTGTTATTATAAAAATGTCACTTTTTTTATTTTCCAAATTTATATAAAACGGTAAAAATCAAATGAAAACAGAAACATTTTTTCAAATCAAACAGCTTCTTAAATTCATACTTCATTGGAAATTTTGACACGTGCCCTTATGTTTCATGGATTTACAGGATTCCAGGAATTGCAGCGATTGTAGTGTCATGGCTTGTGACATTTTATACGCTGTGGCTTCTTGTTGAAATGCATGAATTGGTTCCTGGGAAGAGATTTGATCGATATTATGAATTGGGAGAGCATGTTTTGGGGCCCAAATTAGGATTCTGGTTGGTGATGCCACAGCAATTGACGGTTCAGGTGGCTTCAACCATTGTGTATAGTGTCACTGGAGGGAAGTCACTGAAGAAGTTCTTTGATATTGCTGTTCCAGCTATGAGTGACATTAGGCAAACATATTATATTCTCTTCTTTGTGTGTTTGCAGATATTGCTTTCTCAAACCCCTAACTTCAATAAATTGAAAGCAGTTTCTTTGTTGGCTGCACTCATGTCTGTCTGGTAGGTTTTAATATATAGAAATACTACCTACTTTTTTATATATACTGGTTTCGGTTGATCAACCAGTACAGTTATAAAATTTTTGAAATAAGGATCGTTATTGATATGTATAATCCTTGATGTAACTTGATAAATTTTTGTTTTTAATTAGTATAGTAAAAATAAATAACATTATTTGATATATGTGAAATATTGCTTGCTAGCTAGCTAGAGCAAAATACACTAATTGTATATCTTGAATATGAATGTATAAAATATATAAATATATAATGTAACTATGTTATATGATCATGTCTGAATAACATACCTTGCAGCTATTCCATGGTGGCATTTGGCACTTCAATTGCGAGGGGGCTTGATCATCATCCTTCTCATTATGGAGTTCGATCCCGTACAGCTCCTGGGGTGACTTTTGATACTTTTAATGCACTTGGAACCATAGCATTTGCCTTTGCTGGACACAGCGTTGTTTTGGAGATTCAAGCTACATTACCCTCAACTGAAGAAAGACCTTCCAAAATGCCAATGTGGCGAGGTGTACTAGCTGCATACAACATAGTCATTGTTTGCTATCTTTCAGTTGCAACATCTGGCTTTTGGGCATTTGGAAATAGTGTAGAAGATGATGTTCTCATCTCACTTGAACAACCAAGTTGGCTTATTGCTGTTGCTAATTTAATGGTATTCGTTCATGTTCTAGGGAGCTATCAGGTACACATAAATTAAACTAATTAAGTCATTGTGAGTGTCACGAAAAAGTATTTCATATATATATATATACCTTAGTAACAATTTCTTTCTTTCTGTTAATCAAGGTTTTTGCTATGCCTGTTTTTGATACAATTGAATCAAATTTGGTGCAAAAGTTGAATTTTACTCCCAGTAGGTTTCTTCGCCTCTGGAATCGAAGCCTTTATGTTTGTAAGAACTGCATCAAATGACTTTTTTCAATTATTTACAAGTGCAAGCCTAAATAATTTGAATTATGCATACTAACCATGCTTTTTTTTTTTGTCAATTCCTTTGTAGGTTTGACAGGACTTGTTGCTATGTGCATTCCATTTTTTGGAGGATTGTTAGGGTTCTTTGGAGGACTTGCTTACTCATCAACATCCTATACTGTAATATTTAAAATTATTAACCTGTGCTTAAATCCTACAAGAATTAATTAATGGCTTTCTAGCAACTACTAAATTTCAAACATTAATTTGATGCAGATACCTTGCATATTATGGCTTGCGGCAAAAAAGCCTAAACGATGGAGTTTCCATTGGATTGCATCATGGGTACTTTCTATATTAAACATATCCAAAAAAGACTTTAATGTTTATGGCAGAGAACATATATCTAACTTATTTAATATTTTTTATTGCAGTTTAGCATCTTTATTGGCCTTTTAATAGCAATGCTTGCACCTATTGGAGGAATACGAACAATTATTCTTTCTGCCAAGTCTTACAAGATATTTTCCTGATAAGATTCATGTTTGTAGCGGTGTGTGACACAACACTTATTCCCTTTTTTCTAATTGTAGCTGTGTGAGACAACACATTTCTATAATTTTTTAGAAGACATTGCTATGAGCTTTTTTAATCTTACTAATTAATTTCGCAAAAATTTTTGGTTGCGAAATTATCTTTGTAAATAATTCTTTTCAGGATTTTATGTTGGCATTAGAGTAATACTGATTATGGAGAGGAAGACTACGTAGGGAAAACCTATTATATTTATGGTGTTTGAAGTAATAATATGTATGATTACATTTTTGCTTGTTATTCAAGCAAATAATGGTGGGATTTATCATCAAGGGTGAACCTGTTTTTCAGTAGTTAGTTATTTAATATTGTTAAAACTTTTTTTGTAATTTGTCAGCTAAGTTCAAGTGCTATTGCTGATTCGACTCTCAATTAATAAATTCGTTCCTGCTTTCTTTTATTTTTTAAAATCCTTCAATGTCATAATTTAAAAATGACACGCTCTAGAGAATGAGTTAATCTTTTGGCTTACTATCTCTAAAAGAATGATGCACGTTCTTCCTTTAAATTTTAAATTCAAATGCTTATGAGTTAGTTCAACAGATCTTTTATATAAATACTTTATATTTTCATATTTTATCTTAATTTAAATTTACATATATTTCTTATACGTTTTTTTTTTCCTAGTCTTATAGGTTAATATTTTTCTGTTAAATATTTAAAATTTTATGTTTTATAATTTTACCTTAAACAATAAATATTTATATTCATGTTTATAAGGAAAGAATAGTTACTTAATTAAAAAGAGAATGTTAGAAAAATTTAAGAAATTTTTATAAATTTTCGAACAATCAACTTAATGAGTTTCTTTGTTTTAGAAATTTTTTCTCTTACACTTTTTGTATTACTTCACAGTTAAAATTTTAATTTTTTAAAAAAATATGTTAGTTTTTAAAAAATTTATAAAAAAATATATTAATTTTAAAATTATTTTTTTAGAAAGAAAAATATTTAATTTTTTATTTATTAAAAAAGATAAAAAAAATATGAATAAAAAATAAAAAAACAATAATATTATTTATTAAACTTCTATCACTAGCTTCTTTCAATATTAAACATTCAAACTTAATTCTTCTTTTTCTCTTCTTCTTCTTTTAAATTTTTTTTCTTTCTTCTTTTAAACTCCTAAACAAAGTCAAACTTAATTCTCCTTTTCCTCTTCTTCTTCTTTTAAATTTTTTTCTCTCTTCTTTTAAACTCCTAAACAAAGTCAAACCCTTAAATAAACATAACTTTTAAAAATATATTAAAAAAAAAAAGACACTCATAATATCAAACTATTTTTTATTTTAAGGTTTATCTGTAAATCCATTGGCACATGGCACAGCGGGAAATTTATTTTGCGGGGGCCCAGGTTAAAGAGCATATAGTTTATATGTAAAATATAAATAAACGTTTTACTTTTAAAGTTGTATTTTTTTATGTTTTAAGAACAAAAATTAATTAATTAATTAGTTATTATATTTTCTTAAACTTTGTTTAGAGTTAGTTTTGAAAGAAAAAAGAAGAAAAAAAGACTTAGGACTTGTGTTTCTTTTTAAATATAATTTTTTATTTTTTAAAATAAATAACAGAAAAACTTATTTGTTAGTGTAAATTTTAAAATAATTTTTAAAAATAATTTTTAATTTTTAAAACTGAAAAACAGAATTACTATTTGCATGTTTTTGTTTTAATTTTCTGTTTCTCTTCAAAGTTTAATTAAAGATAGTTTTAAAAACTAAATTATAAAAAAAATTATTATTTTTTCTTAAAAATAGTTTTATAAAATTATTTTAAAATATAATTTTTAAAATTAAAAATCAAAACTAAATCAAACAAGCGCTTATATTTAATGATAGTGAAAAAATTTATAAATTCTCCTAAATTTGTGTTTTTAAATTCTTCAATTTAAAGATTTTTATTTAAAAAAATTTCGTCCTCCATTCTCTTCTTTTTTCTTATTCTTCAAATATTTTTTTTGGCTGACCACATCATATATAATCTTATTTAATTTGTAAAAATTTGTTTATAATTCTTTTCTCAATATAAACAGGCACGTCGTATGAGGAAAAAAAAAACCTTTCATCTTATTGTAAAATCTTATTTTTATAACTTTCATAACTTGTTTTTCTTCTCTTTTTCACTTGTCTTAACAAGCAACAGAATTTATAAATACGTTTAGATACGAAATTTAATCAAACACTCATTTAATAAATTATTTTTATAAGAGAGTTTAGATCATAAATTTGACTATTAAACTTATTATAGTAAATAGGAAAAAAAAACTTATCTTAATAAGTTGTATTAAAATTTTTTATTAAAATAAGCTAATTAAATCGTAAGAAATATTCTTTGTGCTCATATGCTCCTTATATACAAATATAAAATTTAAACAATAAAGGAATGGAATTACAGGAAAATAAAATTTCATAATGTTCAAACTCTAAATTCAGAATAAAAGTTCATAAAACATCAAAAGATGGATAACAAATTGTCTCATTTAGTTTCAAAGCAAACAATTTGGTAGCAAAATTGGGAATTTTACATGACGTAATTCTTGAGTGATACCGACCCATTCCCATGCTTGACCAAGAAGTAGCCAAAGTGAAATTTGAAGGGGAATAAAAACTGTTAGCTACGTACCATGGTACCCAACAAGCACCTACAGCAGATATGGGTACGGTAACAACTTAAGAGTACTCACGCATATAATGGCCTCAAAATCAAGGGGAAGGAACAATCAACTCTGGCTTCCAAAGTGATTCTGAATATCCTTGAAAGATATAGTGGCTGATCCCCTTCTTTTTGCTTTCTGTTGAGAAGGATGTTCCCTCCACCCCGTCATGTATATAACCTACAAAAGCAGAATGACCATATAACACCTACCTTTCATAATTAGTTGTACATTATGATTTCAACTGCTCCAAAAAGAAAATTATCGCATTGCCACTTTCAAAGGATTTAAGTTGGTTTGCCAAACAATTTGACAATTTTTAATATTATAACATTCCATCATTTTGTTGAAGCATAAAGAAAACGGAAGTATTGTGAATTTGTCATTTCTGAAAATGCAATATTTTCATGCAGTAGCCAACTTTCCTCACGGACATGTTTTTTCATGCCCCTAATCGAAGACCAAAAAGGAATATTACCCAGCCTACTCTGACTTACCCCCTCCACCTCTACCCTGGACCATCAGCTCAATCCACCACATACAACTTCAAGCATGTGTTTATCTTTTGTCTCATTAAACCTACATAAGTTAATAATATAATTAAGACTCGTATAAACCTCTTATGCATGTGGGGTAATGCATTACTTGGTCTAAAAGCAATTTGATCATGATAGGAAGAAGTTTCCTATCTCAGAAGTTAATATGTTTTGTTGATTGAAATTGTACAGCACAGAAAGGAAGAGCGTTAAGCTCCCAGATATGGAGGATCTCTCCTAACCCAAGCTCTAAAGCTTCAAAACGAGGTTAAACTGCATACATGCCCTCACATCAACCTCTCTTTTTTAACATCGGATTTCCCTCTTGTCTCTCCTCAATCCCACATGTCCCATCCTTCTAGCGAACTTACATTTTGCACACCAGCCTTAGATCCACTTGAATACACCTTTATGGCCTAAGTATTGGACCTACACAGTTATGAGTCCCCAATCCTATCAGATGTGTAATGCCTAATTTGTTGACATATATTGTATGTGATATGAATCATATTGATTAGGTTAGAGATATTAGACTGTTTCTACATGATTTTACTTGTATACTTGGTATATATATTTTACATATCAACATAATTTATAGAATATACATGCACACACACACACAAAAAAAAAAACGCAGCTGGACCTCAAAAGCATAAACCTCTGTCCTTGATGGTTCAGGGACCTATCTGGTTTGCTAAACACAATTAGAAAGAGACAGTTTTGATAAACACTACACTAATGGCTTTGTTATGACTGATGCTTTATTGTGATTACCTGGAAAGTAGCAGGTACAGTGCCATCTTCTGCAGAAAACATTGAATCATATATAGCAGCAGTTGCTAAGGCTGTATCCTTCTTTAGGATCTGTTCATTTATGCACAACTTTTTTACAAAGATGTAATGCAACATCCAAGGTTCAACATTTGATAAAAGGAAATTTTATTTACCAACTACCATCCATTAATATGAAATAAAAGAAATACTTTACACTGTTCATTTGAGAAAGAGCATTTGTTTCACCCATTGCACGAAGATGTTCTATAAGCTCCAGAGCTGCACTAAACAGAGACAAGAATTGCCATTAAAAATGTACCATAAGAGCTTATGAGGTAATTAAATTCATACATTATTCAAAAAACAAAAAACGACAACTTGAAATAATTCATATATTATAAAGCCATACAAGAAATGGAAAATGACAGTCACTATTCCTCTCTCGGTTTTTTGCCAGCCCTTCTTCATTCTCTTTTTTCTTTTAATCATTTTCTGTGAAAGAATTCAAATCTTCCTCACTCCTCCTGGTCAAGTGGAATTCTGTTCCCATAGTGAATTTTTCTTTTAGCCACCATATTGTCTATCAGTCTATGGGGTGGTCTAGTGTCTTATGGCCTTTACTTCCTACATGGAACAAGCCTATCAGTCAGCAATAAAAGTTACCATGCTCATATCTCATCAAGTAACTTCTTATTTGCATTTGATCATCTACCAGAACTGTGTAGCAAAAGTTTAGGAAGAACTCAATTCATTTAATTCATGTCATGCATGTGGAATAGTTCAATTATAAAACTAAATGAAAATTCTCACCACTTTCATATTTAACTATATACTCATCAACATCAACACCTGGAAGGGTGAAGCCTGCCCTGGTCAAAAGATTTCCAGCATCTCGAACCTGAAAATGGAGGGCAAAAGGTCTTCTCAGTTCCAGATATTTTATTTAGACAAAAACACACATTACAAGCATTAAAGTTACAACAAGCCAGATTAACCAACAGATCTTAAAGAAGTATGCAAGACTAATACTGCCATGATGGATATGTGACAGACAAACGTATTTGCTTCAAAATTAACCATCAACGATGGGGAGTTACTTTCAAATGAATTCATGCAATTCACGATTGCATTTCCAACAGACAATGATTAGTAACACAACCACATTATCCTATTCAAAAGAGAGTAAATAATTCATTTAAAATATAGGTGATCTTAACTGATAAATAAATAATTCACAAGATAATACTTTTGCAACAACACATGCCTGTGCCAAAGGTGATACTCGGGGACTGATCCCTCCTTCACGCTCCATTTGCGCCAGCGTACAAGCTATTCTGAGCTCCCTGGTAACACCCAGATATCATTAAAATGCTCCATCCATTTGTATACCAAATAAATTTCAAGGAATAAAAATAACATTTTCACTTTAATGTTTCTCCACCAAGAATAGCTGCTAAAAATAAGCCATCGGGCTTTAACGCCAATCTAGACTGCAAAACATAAAAAACAATTAAAAAAAAGCACCATCAGAATGATACTAAAACCCACAGTTAGATAAGGGCACATAAAATTTTTCTCTGTAATGACAAAAGAAAATACTCAACATTATTAAGAATCATAGATTCAGTTATCAGCCAAATTACACATAAATTACAGTCAGGCCCTTCACAGCTAACGATGCTTCCATTCTTCCCATGTTTATTTTTCTCTCTTGCTCTCTCTTAGAAATTTGGGGAGGGGGAGTTTTATTTCCCACATTGTAAAAAATGTTTTTTTCACTCTGAGATCTTGTTCTCTCTTCTTCTTTTTTTCTAATTAAAAGTTTTCTTTGAAAGTTTAGTTTTCAAATTATAAAATCCAGAGTGGCCACCCAGCTACAGTGCTGTACACTGGAGCACCTGAGAACTGCATAAACCTTCATAAATCTTTTGCCTTTTACATAACATAAATCTTAAGCATTTTAAATATCAGTATATTAATTCTTAAAATGCATTCAATAATGTTCTTGTCAATTTGGTAGCGCATTCACCTAGAAGTAATGTCTCTAAAAAACTGCACAAAATCAGCTGGTTGAACCAGTCAAACTGTGAACCAATTGTCTCCAGTTCAAATGTTATCCAGTTCAACCAGAAATCCAAGGTCTTGCCAGTTCAATCTTTGCTTTAATTTTCAAAACATACTTTGACTGAAGGTAGCTAGTAGTCGAACTGTGAACCAATTGTCTCCAGTTCGAACATTATCCAGTTCAACCAGAAATCCAATGCCTTGCCAGTTCAATCTTTGCTTTAATTTTCAAAACATACCTTGACTTGAAGGTAGCTAGTACTAACAATCCTTATCGCATAAGGGTGCTTAATGCTCTCAATGAAAAATGATACTTGACATAGAGTATTTGAAGACCCAAAAAAAAAAAAAAATTCTTCATATCACAATTTGCGCGTCCAATATTTTGGAATTATTCCACCAAACCCACCCGAAAAGAGGTAGATATCCAAACAAGAAACGCCATGTCCCATATACTTTTCGAAACATCACTTGATGTTCATTTACTTTTATGAACATTACTCTTTCTGGGACACCATTAGAAAACAACCAATTCAAACACAAGCAATTAAGCAAAGCCAGTAAACACATGCATAAAAGATTAAACCTGTATCATTGCTCCCGGCAAATCATTAGTCCAGTGTAGCCCCAAGCAACTAATAACCAAATCCACAGAGCTGCAACTTACAAATATTAAATCAATATCAAGTGCAAATTATGATTAAAATTAAATTAAACTAAACTAAAGCTGATTTGACTCCTGCACCTTTCTTTGATGGGTAAAAATTCTTCATCACCAACGAGATACACTGTCTCAATGTCATGATTGTTTGAGGCATTCTTACAAGCTTGAAGCATATCAAAGGAAGCATCCATCACAATAAGCTTCTCTATGGCACCTGAGATTAACAATTCCATTTTAATGTGGGTGCAATTAAGCTAAGCATGAAAGCGCGTGCAGAGCGAGATTGTTACCGCGATCGCGAATTGAGCGCGTGATGGTTTGCAATGAGCCTCCCAAACACAACGCCGTTGGAAAAGTCTTCTTGCAGTCCTAAGGAAAACAGAAATGTTGAGAATTTAGAAAGAAAATGGAAACAGAAGGGAACCAAACCGAACCTGCAAACGGTCCAAGAGGTTATCGGCGACAGTGTGCAGCAAAGGGTCGTGAGAAGGCATCAACCACGCAGCTCGATCGCGGTGTTTGCGTTTGAGTTGGCGATCGAATATGTTGACCTTCGTGTTGGAGTTGGAAGTGCAGAACAAAGCCAAAGAGATAGTACGAAGTGGCAATGAGAATGGGGTTTTGCGAAAGAGGGACAATCCTCTCATTTTCTTCGATCCTTATTCAGAATCAAAACTAGGACGAAGCAACCGAAAGTGTTCTCACTCCACTTACCACTACCATCGACTAGGAATTGCCCCAAAAATAATCTGCTATTTCAGATAGTCAAACGGAGCAAGCAAAGTGCAAAAATGTTTTTTCTCCTCAGTAAAATATTTTGTAAAAATATTAAGCTACTAAACGTGATATGATTTTGTGTTTAAAAAATTATAAAATATTTATTATTTTAAAGAAACTAATATTTTAATTATTTAATAAAAATTATTATTCAATTACTTTTTTTGGTTAAGTAGACTAGGAATTCAACAAGTGAAAGAGACTAATACATGCTAACATGTGGAGTTAACTTGCAAACTTTGCACAACAAACATAAACTATGAGTTTAAATTTTGACAAATAAATATAATGTTGAGAAGAAGGTAAACTTTCGCTTTAATCTAAAAAATATGCAACTTGATTAGAAACTTCATCGCTTTTCTGAAAAATCAATTTTTAACCTTGACAAAATTGATTTCTACCGTATCTCTTTCTTTATTTAATTCGTTTTAAACCTTCGTCAAAATTTTCGAGCTTAAGGCTTGGCTTTAATGATTCAGGTAATAAAACCAAAGATAAGCGTTTCCTCGTTTAGAAGAATATATTATACTAAAAGAAAAAAAGAGGATCAACTTGCCAACAACTTAAGCAAGCCTTCATGATTCTTAGGCAATGGAAAATAAAGTATTTGGTCACCATTGGGTATGCTTTGTGACAAAGTTCCTTTGTAGATATGTAAGACAGGCAATTGCAAGTTCGTGATTTATGATATGGAGGAGAGTAACATTGAGGACTTCTATGCTATCTTACCATAGATGTCACCATCTTGAAGATAGGGGTGCAAGTGGCTGAATGAGCTGACCCATTTAACTGTCTAAATTAGTCGACTAAGTTGGATTATATATCTATCGGCTTGATCAGTTGAGCTTTAAAAAAAAACAAATAAAATATACTATTTATTAGTAAATTTTAATTTTATTATTAATATAAACATATTATTTTAATATTTTTTATTTTTTTATTAATTTCAAATTGGCTAACTTGTTAACCTAATGATATGCTAACTCACTTTATATTATTTTTATTTTTTACTTGCTAACTCACTTTATCCTTTGAGATTGTATAGGCAAGTGGATGTTTGACTTCAATGGAAGTAATGGCATCATAGACAAAATTCATGCAAAATTGATGTAAAATCTTCATGGTGTTAGATTATACACATAAAAGAAGGATAAAAAAAAGTTTACTATTTTTTGGATTATTTAGAGGTTGTGAAAGTGCTTAAGAGGTCTACTTATTTTTATAAATATGGACCTATTTTAAGTTATATTCAAGATTATATACATAGACATCATAGCATCAAGGTTTAATACTTTCTAAGAATATTTAATTGCAATAGAGTTTATCTTACTAAATTTTCATTTTAGTCTTAAAGCAGTAAGTGTTGTAGTCTTTAAAATTTTAAAAATATTAAATTAGTCTATAACTTTTTTTTTATCATTTTAATTCTTCAAACTACACATCGTCAACATATAATAATATATTTTATCATACTAAGTGATATGTATGATTGATTATGTGACAAAAACAACATGATACATGGTGTGATATATTTTTATTTTATTTTAATCTCTTAAATTGTCATCTATTAAGCATTATAATTTATCGTTCTCAAAATATTTCATTTATTTATTATTTTTCTTTTTTAATACTATCATTGTCATAAACTACTATCATCAATCATTATTTGCATTTACATTCTTTGTTGACAACTTCAGTGCCATTGTCCAACACATTGAAATTTTTTATTTTAAAAATAAACATTGAAATGAATTTATTTAGCTAGTTTGAACTTCAATTTAAGTGAACTAAAGTGTGTATGGCAAAAATGGAATATAGAACTTACCCCAAGAACAAATTTGAAGCAAAGGATAGAGTTTTTAGTGAAATCAAGTCCTTAATAAAAGAGGGTATGTTACATTTGATTCCATTGAAAGAGTGATTCAAAATTTTGAGGTTATCAAGTACGGTAATAAAACTATGTATTATTCTCTTGAGTTTGTTATTAAAAAAAAAATCAATGTTAAAATAGATGTATCTTGGAAGAGAACCAGTGAAGTTGACGCAGTAAATGGTCAAAGTTTTAAGCTTAAGAGAATTGTTGAATGACAGCAGTTAAGTTATTAATAAAATGCAAATAAACAATGGTCAATTACGGTAGTTTAAGAAAAAATAAAGGAAAAAAATGATAGATAGATAAAATATTTTAAGAATTAATGATTAAAATGTTTAATGAGTAATAAATTGAAGATCTAAAATAAAACAAAAATATATATTACATTATATATTTTATTATTTTTGTCACACAATTAATCATACATGTCACTTAACATGACATATTAGTTATGTTATTTCAAAATAAAAGATAAAAGTAAAACATTAACATGTGACAATTTTAAAATTTTAAAAATTAAAATATTTCATACTTATTATCTTGGATACTAAAATAAAAGTTTAGTAAACATTTGTGCTTCTTTTGAGAGACTTTTCTTATAGCTTCAATCAAATTCCATTTAAAAGCTTGTTAGGTGCATTATATGTTAGAAGTTAGTTATTTCAATTTTTTTTATGTAACAAAATAGATTCATCCTAAAAAAATAAATAAATAAACAAAAAATTACAAAAGTAAGAAAGATGAAATTAAAATTTATTATATTTTAAAAAATTAAATAAAAAATTAAAATATTTTAAAATCACTCAATTATCAGAAAATCAATATTTCAATTATAAATGAAACTACATACACTAATAGAGATTTTTTTTCACAATTAATTATGAGTACTTTTAATATTAAAAAATGAATTATATATATTTTTTGTTATAATGATTTTATTTTTATTTATTTTTTAATTTTGTTGTGAATTTTAAAAGTAAAAATTTATTACTTAAATTTTCTTCATTTCTTTATATAAACATTGATTACATGTAAATACATATATTTACATTTATAAAATCTATCTTAACATTTTATATAAACTTTGAAATTTTCTACGAATATTTATTTATATATATAAATTTTTTATATATTCAACTTTTAAATATTTCAGAAAAATCTATATCTATAATTATAAAATTCATAAAGCTCAATATATTATTTACAATATTTATAGTTAAAATTTTCAACAACTAATCATCTTTAATTTTGTAAATAAATAAATAAATAAATATATATATATATATATATATATATATATATATATATATATCCTATGCTATAAATTGCAGAATGCATTGTTTATATTTTTTTCTTAAAATTTATGTTGTTCTTAAATATTATTTCTTATGATATTTTTCTAAACAATCTTATATGTATGTTTTAGTGTACGTGGGACATGTTTTAATTTCTTTTCTAACTTTTAATTTAAAGTTTACATTTAGGAGACTTATTTCTTAAAGTTATGATTGTAAATATATATGTTGATTATTGATATTTAATTTTTTTTTACACTATATGATAAAAAATTATTTAATTTTTAATTATTATAATTTTATCAAATTTTAATAATTTTGATACATATTATTTATAGTTATAGAGTTAAGTTAAATTTTCTTAAAAAGTATTATTTAAAATATTTTTTTATATCTATAATTATTTCTAAAAATGTAAAAAATATTCTTAATTATTGAGTTATATATATTAAAATAAAATACATGTACATTGCATAGATTATTAGCTAAAAATATTTAATAAAAACAAAACTAATAAAATTGAAGAGAAATTACAAGAAATGACTTTTTAATAAGACTAAATTGTTATTTATGAGATATGAGATAACATAAAAAAGGGACTTTTACCAAAAAAAATATATAAATTTTAAAATAAACTTCTAAAATAATAATTTTTTTCAAAATATTGTTAAAAAAGCCCAAAAAATTATGATATTTCTGGGATATGAGGAGTGGTGTGAAGGTTATTCCTTTGGGCGAAAACAAAACATGTCTGCTAACCATTCTCCCTGCACTACCAACAGCACTATTCCCCCATTGTTCTGCTCCCGATTCCTGCATACCCCGCATAACGTCCAATGCAGCAATAGAAATTGGGCTTCCAAGAGATTCAAACTCGTCGCAAAATCAAAATCAGATGCGCAACCATCTACACCCACATCCTTTCTCTCTTTTCTCTGTCCCTTACTCAAACTCTTTTCTGTACAGTAACTCACTTTTCTCTTTCCCTTCTTACATAATACCAAATTGTTTATTTTCTTACACACTACACTATATGCTTCTGGCAGGGCAGAGATCCTTCTCAACCTCGCAATTTTACTTTGGAGGTGATTTCTGAGGGGTTTTCTAATATCTCTTACTTTGCTGCGTGACATTATGTATAATTTCAGCTACAATATTCCTACTGCCTTTATCTGAAATACCACTTCGTCTAATATTGTTAAAATCCTTGTCCATTTTATCATATACGCATGCAGTAGAAGTGAAATAGAAGGCTTTTGAAATGTTTTATTTTTAGTTTAGGAACTTTTAACCGCTTCTGTGGTTAGTTAAGCATGAAGTAGTTAAGTAAACCACTCATTGTATAGGGACCAAAATCACACTTACTCTAAAGTATTGGGACCAAAAGTGCAATTAAGCCATAATTTTATTATTCCAAGATTCCTTTCTTCTCTCTCCCTCATTCCCTGCCGAGAAACCTATTATTTCAACATTATGCATTATTTTGTTACCTTTAAATGGAGGTATATTTTTATATAATTAAATTATTCTGTCCCTGTGGTTGAGCTGTGTGCCATGTTATTGAGCATGGAGACAAATATATACAAGGGATTCTTTATATTCTGCATGCACCTTATAACTGACTACCTTTAAGTTTCTATGATGAATGGTAGCTAGCAACATCTTCGTTGGCTAGCTTGTCTAGGTTTGCATGGGGAACAAAATCCATAGCTGAGAGTTCACTGAACAAAGAAATCACTTCAGATCTTCCTTTCAGATTGCAGCTTTTTGAATTTGGTATGCTTCTTCCACTTTAGATAGGTTTAGGATGAATCCTGATCATGCTCTTTGCTAATAATAGGCAAACATGTTTTTCTTCTTTGAATTAGTTATTGATGGTCAACATTCCAGAAGTTAATTTATTTTTTAACATATTACTATTGCTAAGCATTAGACTGGACCTCATTGTTAATACTACTATACCATGACTAAAGTAGTTTCTTATTCCAGTCCTCAACTGAATTTTCATGCGAAGGTTATCAAAAGTCTTGGTTTTGTTTTTGACCTCTTACATGTGACTGTTATTTTATCATTGAATTTTGTGATTGTCCCATCTTAAACCTTTCAGACATTGTTTGTCAACAGAGGCATGTCCCTTTTGTAGAAGGGTTCGGGAAGCTATGACTGAACTAGATCTTTCAGTAGAGGTTAGCTGTTGATGCTTCACGTACACTTACCACAACATACAATTCTTAATGTTCCCTTGACTGAGTTTCATCTGTTTCAACAGAGCACTATTTTTTCGGTGCGATTAAAATATGCTCCTAGATTTTTCAGGTCCACATTTACTGTAGTTGAATTGAATCTAATGAATTAGCTTTTGAACTATGTAATACTCACCCTATCAACTCCTGTTGGACCACTGGTATTCAAACAAATTCCAACTAGTACCAAAACCTTTTTGTTTGGGGGTTGGGGTGGGGGAGAAGATATCAGTATCTTTAAGTTAACAATTGGGAAAAAAGTCAATTTTATGTGCTAATATGATAATGATATAGTTTGGTCAACTTCATTTATTTCACCCAAAGAGTTTAAATGGAGGATGAAAATTACTGACTCTATAATTAAAATTTTGGACACCACACAAAATATTTGCTTAATTACAAGAAAATGAGTGTTGAATGACAGTATGGCACTCATTAGCTTGGATATTGATTTTGCTAAAACATAGATAATGTAGCTTGCTAAAGTAATAGGGAAAGGAGTTTTTTTTTTTTTTTGTATGAAAAGGCAGTTAATCTTAATTGATATACTTATTTGTGACATGAAATGATCTGAAATTGATTTATGGTTGACTTTGTCAATTAGTTCCCCTAATATTAATCCTGTTGTTGTTATCGATAGGTCTATCCTTGTCCTAAGGGTTCTGTAAGACACAGAGAGGTGGTCAGAAGAACTGGTGGCAAAGAGCAGTATGTAGTTCTTCATGATATATTGTTTCTTTTGATCTGTTAGTATTTTTATTTTCACAATATTGCATAATTTTGAAAATTTTAAAACAGTTTTTGGGGTATCATTTCTCAAAATTTTGTCAGTGCATTTCCTTATTGTATTATATATGAAGATTAATTCTTACTGACAAAGCAATTGCAATAGGATCTTTATTTTGATTTCTATTACATTTTTGTTGTGTATTTGCATTATGCAACATATTTAATACAAGTGAAATAGTTTCATGTTTTCCTTATCTTTCAAATATTCTTTTTACTTAACATATGCTGCCACGATTCTCTTTTACAGGTTTCCTTTCCTCATTGATCTATATAGTGGTATTTCTATGTATGAAAGTGGTAAGCAAGGAAGCTTTCTCCAAGCTCTCTCCCCAAATAGTTACTGATTTTCTTGTTTAGTGGCAATGACATGAATTACCTCCATTTTCATATTTGTTAACTGGTTTGGATTGATTCATGTTAAATGCTTATTCTGCTTCCTCACATTTTCTTACCTGAACATCCACTTTTTGTTTGTTTCAGTTGTGTTGGTAAATGCTTTCAACTAATTCAATTGCATCTGCTGGATGTTGCGTACAAATTTATTTTAATGAGTTTGTCTCTTAATTTACTAAATGCAATATGCAACCTTAACTCCAACCTCTAACCTAATCCTGAATCTCTGCTTCTTTTACTTTGACATTTCTATTCTTGGTGTCTTACTGTAGGTGATATTGTCAAATACTTGTTTGAGCAGTATGGAGAAGGCAGAAGTCCCTCGTCAGGACTTTTGGAGAGGTATTAGATACAAGTCTCTTTTTAGATGAGCACATAAAATATTATTAATCACATATTTTAGGGGAGGAACTTGGGTTCAATCTTCGACATACAAATTTGTTGCATTTATATACTAGGAGCAAAGAAACTATAATATTTTATTGTAATATTTTCATGAAAGCATATCAGCATGTAACTAAATTTTATAGGATGCTTGTGACACAAATAGTATGTTCCTCATCTTGGGGAAAATCTGAAAGTGATTTTTAAGGAGTAATGAAGCTTATATAAATTTTGGTTGAGTCTTGTGACATAGAATGCCACTAACCAAAGACTGTCTGTGCTAAGGGTTTTCCATATTCCATGGCTTTGATAAAAGGGAATTTTCAGTTTTTTTTTTTTTTTTTTTTATCTTGATAACCCATTCTTGTGCAGCACTGTTTTCACTGGATGGATGCCAACTATACTTCGAGCAGGTAGAGGAATGACACGGTGGGAACATTCCAGGCTTGACTCTCCTCCTGGAAAGTTGGAGCTCTTCTCATATGAAAATAATCCTGTAAGATAATGCTTTCTGTCTCTGATTTCTGTAGGAAATTCAAATTTGAGAGAACTTTGCTTTTTTGCCCAGCTATGAAGCCTACATACTTAGTATGACACAGATACGTAGATACAAGAAAAATTTGAAATTCAAGATATGATACAGCTTAAATACGTTAACATGAATTTAAAGAAATAGCATACTTTATACATATACAAAATATTTATAAAGAGATATTGATAATTCATTTATATTAATGTGTTATATTTAGATATCAATGATCACATTTTACAAAAAAAATATATGCGACCATATCTTTCCGTTGTCTAAGTAACTAAGTCAAAATATTTTTCTTACTATAAACACATAAAAAAATTACATACTTTACCCTTCTATTCAAGTTAGAATTGCACAAAAGAATTGTTAGTTCTATCCAAAAGAAATATAGAACTATCACAAAAAGGGCCTGTCTTTATACTATTTAATTTTCTCTAAGCCGTATTGGATGATTAGGAGCCATATCTAAGCTGTATCATATCAGGTTGGAAATTAATTTTTAAAAATAAATTAAATTATAGATACTTTTGAGATAAGTATCTGGATGTATTGGACACGTATCGGTATTGGATACGTGTCCGATACGGATACTTTGGCTGTTTTGAAGTATCTATGCTTCATAGCTGCTCAGCCTACTTTTAGTTTTCAGTTGGCCCAAATTGTGGTCTGAGAAGAGAATCAGTTATATTTGTGCTTGGTTTTCTTTCTTTAAATTCAATCTTTATTGAAAGAAGAGATTCATATAATGTGCTGGTGGAATTGTGCATTTCTGTTTAATGGAATTAATGTTAGGATCATAGAAGGAACTTGATTTGCTATACTTATGTTTTGCCCCTGCCGTTGGATTAATTTTCAAGTATATACTTCCTCTCTAAGTGATTGGATGTATTTCTCCTTCTAACTTCATAGATTTGATATTTCACCCTTTAGAATGCTCGAATAGTGCGTAAGGCATTATGCGAATTGGAACTTCCTTACATTCTTCAAAATGTAGGAGAAGGATCTCGTAGATTGAAGTTACTCTTGGATGCTTCTGGATCTAAAGAGGTTAGAATTTAGTGGGACATACAAAATTGCATAAAAGTTCAATTGAAATGAAATTTGTATGCTTCTAGATATGTTGGTTATTTATCCAGAGTTAGAATTTTGCTATGGGTTTGCTGCCATGTTAGGCTACACATATTAAATAGGATTTGGCTCCTCTAAAGCGAGTGATACACTTTAAAGGGGAAAAATGTGGATTTATGATCCATTGATAACAGAGATTTTGATAAAATATATGTACATTTATAACAAACTATTTAATTGTTAAAGTCTCCTTGTTATTCTCATCAATTTATATTTCCTTATTTTTTTCCCAAAAGTGCACCTCTCACATTAGAGGGGCCAAATTCTCCCAAGTAGGTAGGTTGTTATGTTTATAATAATAATAATGGATAATTATTAGCAAGTACAAAACACAAAAGAGTAGGAGGTGAATTTTTTATATCAGGATATCTCTTTTTGGATTATTTTCTGGTTTGTAAAAAAAGATCCTTGCATGAATAGAGAAGTTGTCCTGTACAGGTTCCTTACTTTATTGATCACAGCACTGGATTTCAGTCTGGGGACTACAAGACGATCTTATCTTATTTGTTCGAAACCTATTCTACAGCTATTTTATAATCTCCACTCTTGTAAATGAAAACTTCTGTGCTTTGAAATTACCACAAATACTTATTGTCATCTTATTCTATGATGAACAAAGCCCCTAAGTATACGCTAGAGAAAATTGTAGAGAACTAACGATATAAAATGTTAAGTACACTGAATCTGGTGAGATTGTTTTGAAGATGTTGGGATTCGTTTATTTTTGCCATATGGGCCAGTTAAACTTATTGGTGAATGACTCAGATCAATGGAACAGTATTGTACCAAAATGAAGGAAAGGTACGACAGCTTTTGTGTTCAGTATTCGGCAGAACTCTGTTCAACTTGTTTGTTTCTGTTATCATTAAATTTGGCGGTCTGTCTTATGAGGTTAAAATTGGGAAAATTACAAGTAGTGCTGTTTGTGGTTAAGGTATGTGTAATGAACAATTTGAATGTGTACTTTTCCTGATTCCTCCAAAAAGTGCTTCCACAAATATTGCAATAAAATTGGTTTCATATGGAAGTTCTTCCATTTATTCATATTGATCATGTATCGACTCTTGTTAAAATCATTATGCACTTGAATCATGTACATATGTTGCATAATCTTCATCTATTAGACTTGTATTTGTTTTCATCAGAACATAACACAAAACTTTGGGACTAACATTTTGATAGAAAAATGACTAAGATATGGAATAAATCGCTTCATTCAAAACCGAAATGACCTTATGAAATAGGCTTGCATTAATTTGACTTAATTAGATGCCCTTAAGTAATTTTCCTAGCCTTGTTAGTTTAAACAGCAGTGTAAAATAGAGATATAAACCAAAAGATTCAAGTAGGATGGATGAATAGAGGAGTGTTTATCTAAGATAAAAATGTTATGACGCAATTTTAAAGGATAATTTTATCGCACAATTATAAGACTTGATATTGTATGGAACTAAATGTTTTGCAATGAAGGGCAACAAGAGAATTAACTCGATGTTATAAAGATGATATTCTTGCGTTTGATGAATGGATATATTAGACAAGATAGAATTGGGAATGAATGTATAAGAGAAAAAATTGAGATAGTAACTGTTGTAGAAAAGATAGTAAAATTTTGTGTGTTAGTTAAGCATGTGTAGAAAAGACGTGTTGAAGCCCTGGTGAGAAGAGTAAATCACATGAAGGGTAGCTTAGTAATTATAGATATACAACATCCAAGAAAAACTAAAAGCAAAACAATTAAGAAGGATTTAGATTTCAACGGGTTTACATAGACATGATTAACAACAAAACATTATAAGCTAAGGTGTGTTAGGTATAAAGGGAGGAAGAGAGATGAAACATATATCTATAGCAATCTCTGAACAAATCTATTGACCGTAGCTGTGAAGCTCGGACAAGGGGATAGAATTTGTTAGCCAACTTTTTTTTTTCCCAATTTGATCAAAAGAGAAGAGAATGCAAAATGACTAAAATCTCAAATTGATTTTGAAAGATAAGAAATTTTTAATTTGGTCCCTGAAAAAAGAAATATTAAAATTAGGTTTTTAATATGTGATTGTCATTTTTTTTCCTAGTATTTGTCATATATTTTAGTCATGCTAGAATTCGTTGGTTAATATATGTTTTTAACTATGCTAATTAAGAACGTTATAACATAAAATGACTAAAAAAAATACTTTATTCATGTCCCTCGTATAATACTCATTAAAAATATGCAAAACAATAAAGTGTGTATTTTAGTCACTTTATGTTGAAACATTATTAAATTGACATAGTTTGAGGCACGATAGCATATCACATCTTTATCTTTATCTTAATCTATATAAAAGTAGATGAATTTTAAAAGAAAATTTATCATCACAATAGTATTAATATGTTATTTATTTTTGCAATAATAAATATTAATGATTTAATTCAAATCACTTAAATGCATTTATCTCTAATTTATAGTTTTAAATTTTAATATTAATAGCTTACTTTAAAATTTATTATTAAAAATTGATAATTGATACCTGATTAATATTCGAAAGGTGCAATGTTTAAGATATTTTTAAATTTTAATATTAATGTTTATTTTAAATTTTATTGATAGAATTAATATTGGAAATTGATAATTGATACTTTAAATTTTATTCTTGAAAATTGATAACTGGTATATGATTAATAAAGAATATTAAAATGAATGAATAAGAATTTTAATATTAATGATTTATTATTTTGAGGCAATTTTGAATTTTAATGTTAATAATTATTATTCTTATAATGTTTAAGGCAGTTTTAAATTTTAATACTAATGTTCTACAAACACAAAGTTTAAGGACCATAACCTTTGAAGAAAGTTATCATTAAGGAGTTAAATGTTTAATTTCCCTGAATTTGATGCATTAAGATATTCTTTGCAAACAATTTTTTTTTTTCCTTTTTTAAGTATATGTTTATGTTACTTTTTTATTTATTTTAAAGTTTAATTATAAAGTTATTTGTTGATATTTTAATATATCCTAATCGGAGTATTCTCTACCAATGTTGTGAGTGGACAAGTTTTTGAATATATAAATTTTAACTTTAAAATTCTTTTAAAAAAATTCTTAGTACATCTTAATTTAAGTCTTTCATTATCATTATGAAATGTATTTCTTTTATTAGTCAGATTATATTAGTGTGATTAATATATTTATCTATTTTTTTTAAAACTTTAATATTAACATATTAATCTATTTATTCTTACAAAGTTTAAGGCAATTTTAAATTTTAATATTAATGGTTTACTTTAAATTTTATTTTTGGAAACTGATAATTGATATATGATTAATGAGAAATAGTAGAATAAATGAATAAGAATTATTGGGTTTATATATTCGAAAGATTATGTATATTATATTTAAATCTGTTATGCATAATCAAATGAGAGCTATATGAATAGACGTAAAATATTTAATAAAGAGAAAAAAATATATTTTATTTAGTATGTGTATATATATATTAACATATTTATACGTTCTTTTTAACTTTAATATTAACATATTAATGCATTTATTCATACAAAGTTTAAGGCAATTTTAAATTTTAATAATAATGGTTTACTTTAAATTTTATTATTAGAAAACTAATAATTAACATCTGATTAATGAGAAATAATGGAATGAATAAATAAAAATTAGTGAATTTATATGTTTGAAAAGTCATGCAATAATGCAATGAATAAGAATTAATATTAATTTAGTGTGATTGACAACTAAAAATTAATACTTTACTTTTAAATTTTATTATTGAAAACTAATAATTACTATCTGATTAATGAGGAATAATAGAATGAATAAATAAGAATTAATTAGTTTATATATTTGAAAGGTCATACAACAGAATGAATAAGAATTAATATTAATTTAGTGTTTGTAACTTTAATATTAACATATTAATGCATTTATTCTCTCACATATGAGTGTCAATATATGTAATTATTTTATTATATCAATTACAATTTTGCAGGACATTGATAAAATGCATAAATTAGGTAATTTTAGATGATAACTTGAACACTTTTAATGTTAAATGTTTGAATTTTTCGATTAAACTTTTCCTAAATTTGTAACTTTTATAATTACTTGTATATTTGAGGAGAAGAATGCAAATGTAAGTATTTTGATTCATTTTTGATATATTTTAAAGTTGAAATCAGAAAGGAAACATCACCCAAAGTTGAGGAAATTTGGAAAATTAAGCAAGAGACACACAAAAGCATGAAGTTGAAGAAAAGAAAGATTTTTAAGGTTTTTCGCTGTAGTGAGTCATCCTTGCCGTAGCGAAAGGTGATAAGTTTAGAAGAGTGAATTTGTACTTCTCTTGCTATAGCGAAAATTTGTTGCTACAGCCATAGTGCCTTTCCTTGCTGTAGTAAGACCTATGTCACTGCAGCGAGAGACAAGCAAAATGACCTAATTTTGCCTCCATTCTCGCTACAGTAACAAGGTGTCACTGTAGCAAGAGAAGTTTTGTCTAGACCTAAAACTCAACTTTTGTGTTTCTAAAAGGGTTATTGTTCCATTCTTGTTATTAGAGAGAGAGTGGCGGAGAGCTGAGAGAAAAAGTGAGAATACTTATTTTTTTTTATGTTCTATACCGTTTATATCTCAATTCTTGTTACTATAGTTGCAATGAGTAGCTAAAACTCGTGCGAGATTGAATATAAATCTTTAAACTTGATGTATTCTTAATAATTTATATAAATATAGCTATTTCTTCTTCATTTCTATGGATTTGGTGATTTCAATTCATGTTTAATGCTTGAATTTTTCTAACTGATAGCTTCTTGAGCCCATATATGAGTTATATATGGAAAGATATTAATTAGATCTAGATCTGATTAAGATTACTCGATGACTGGTTACTCTAGGAATAAATTTCAAATTATCGATTTTTTTAAATCCTTATTATAGTGCTAGATAGTTTGTTAACTGCTTGAGAGATCAATATTTAAAAAATTATCTTAGAAATATATTTTCAAGGAATTGAGATATATGACTTTTGCACTTAATATCAATAACATTAGAAATGATTTCTATGTTTATCACTTAATTACTGAAATACAGAGATAGGGATAGATGAAATTCAATCCCAGTTTATTTAATTTGAATTTTACTACATTTAACATTATTATTTTACATTATAATTATCACTCAAATTTTATGAAAATCATCAATCAATTTTATTGTATATAAATTAATTAATTTTTATCCTAATAATTAATACATTTTGAATTACTATTCGATGATGATATCTCAATACTTCACAAGTTATTACTTATAATAGATCTCATATACTTGCAGTGTTTTTAAGAAAAAATCCCACCAGACATTGATGTTGTAGGTAAGAAAAATTCAACTTTCACTTTTACCGACTCTTTCTTCGATAATAAATGGTTTGGTTCATAAAAAGAATAAAAATAGCAAGTATTTTTTAGATCATTTAACATGATGTTTTCATTTATATTTATAGGAAGTAAAATTGACCTCTCACTTAATGACGGTAATTCACCTTTAATTTTTATCATGAGTAGAAAAAATTATCAACAAAATTGGTAGTTTAATTTCTCCTCTTAGATCACAAGTAAAGTTCTCACAGATATATATTTATATATTCAATTGTGTGTTATATAATTTTGTAAGATAAAATACGTTTTTAATTTTTATAAATATAGTTAATATTTATTTTATTCCTTCAATAGTTTTAATTTTTAAAAATTTTAAATATATTAAAATTATTTTTTTATTATTGATATCATTAATATTGTAATACGTAGGTATGCATGTTATATTATTACAAATTAATTATAATGATAATTTTAAAATTTATAAAATCAAAATTATTAATTTATAAATTAAAATAATATTTTAGTTTTATTTATTTATTTTTAAAATTAATTTAAAATAATTAAAAATATATCGTAAGTCTTAATGTAATATATAAAATATTTTTATTAATAATAATATTAATATATACTAATTATTTTAAAATATTTTAAATATTATCATAAATATTTTATATAATTATTTTTTTATTTTATAATTATTAATTATAATTTTATATTATAATATAATAATTTATCCGATGCACGGTGATTTTATCGGTTATATGTAACATGTTACATTAATATTTTTAAAAAAATAACTAATAAATTATAATAAATGAATTAAATAAATGAAAAATTCCACAATCGGCTCAATTTACTTTTTCAAAAATTAAATTGAAAGACTCCACGTTGTTCACACACCAATTTAAAAAATCAATCAATGCAAAACTAAATTAAATAAACTATTCATTCATAAAGGGCCACGTTACAATTAGGATTAGATTATTAGTTAAAAAAATCAAACACGTTGCATGCATAACTTATTATTTTAAAAAAATATGTAATTGGTTTGATTTATTATAATTTAATTTAAAGTATTATCAACTCAACTATTCGTTGCTAAGAGTAGCAAAAGCAAAAGCAAAAGATAACTTTTAAAATGAGTCGATGCTTTAATTAATTGCACAAATAATCAAGTCGAAACTACCCTGAGATTTATAATTGAACAGAGGACACAAGATGCCTTCTCTAGGTGGCATTTCAATTCATTGAAGAAGACTAAAAAATATTTATATGAATTATTGAACCCGAATGTGGTTCTACCAACTTTGGCCTTAAGTAGCTTTCTTGTCAAAATCATGGGGTCCAACTCCAAATTTCTTTCCTTTGTATCTACTTTATACCAGTAATTGCATGTTTCCAAATCATGAAAAACAACATGGATGGATAATCATTTCTGTCACTTTACCTGCTCTTCTTTCTTTAAAGTCATCCCGTTTAATAGTATACAGTCTCGTATAATTGACAAAAATATATCCCAAGTTACATTGACTACTTGTAGCCCCAGCACCAACACAACCAACGGTTGGTGCTCTCCACCGAATGATTCCTTTAGTAGGTAGTATAGTATAATTGATATATTGCAACCCATGACTATTGTTCTCATGCTGTGACTGTTACTATTTTTCTCTCATTTAATGCCTCGTTGATTTCCCTTTACTCTCAAGCAAATTCAGCTTCCAACACAACCACTTTCACTTAAATGGTCAAATTCCTGTTCAAATAAAACTGATATCTGCATTTGAGGCCTGATCATCCTCTTCCCATCTCCGTTGAAAGAAAAAACCATGAGATCTAAGGCCCAATTCACATGCACCCTGAAGGTAGCACTTCTCAGCCTTGCGGTTCTCATCCTCTTCATCATGCTATTCCGGTCATCAATATTCTCAGGGTCTCAGCAACTGACCTCACAGAGCAACACGCCAATAGTTTCAGTTTCAGTTTCAGCAGAAGAAGAATCTCATCAGTCAACAGCAGCAGCAACAGAACCATCATGCCCTCCACTCCCCTTGACACCCACATGCACCAAAGCCCCTCCATCTTTAGCCAATGCCTTGATCCACTATGCAACCACCAACATCACCCCTCAACAGACCCTCCATGAGATCTCAGTATCATCAAAGGTTCTTCAGAAGAAATCCCCATGCAACTTCCTTGTGTTTGGCCTTGGTCATGATAGCCTCATGTGGACAGCACTCAACTATGGTGGCCGCACCGTTTTCCTTGAGGAAGATAAGTCTTGGATTGACCAAATCCAACAGAAGCTACCATCTTTGGAGTCTTACCATGTGGTGTATGACACCAAGGTTCACCAAGCTGATGAGCTAATGAGAATTGGAATGGAAGAGGATTGCAAAAAGGTGACTGACCCAAGATTTTCCAAGTGCCAATTAGCCCACAAAGGGTTCCCAAGTGAAGTTTATGACATAGATTGGGATGTGATCATGGTTGATGCACCCACAGGTTACTTTGAAGGAGCACCTGGGAGGATGAGTGCAATTTACACAGCTGGTTTGATTGCTAGGAACAAAGAGCATGGCGACACTGATGTGTTTGTCCATGATGTGGATAGGGATGTGGAGGACAAGTTCTCAAAGGCTTTTCTCTGTGAAGGGTATTTGAGGGAACAACAAGGAAGGATCAGGCACTTCAACATTCCTAGCCACAAGGCTCGTTCTGGTAGACCCTTTTGTCCATGAGTAAATAAAATCCATAAACACATTTGTTCCCTTTCTCTCTCACCATAGCCATTTATCATCAATTTATTAAGTCATTATTAAGAAAAGTAGAATCGAACAGTATATTCTTGTGATGTGTCACTTCTATTTTTGTGCAATTATTTTTTTGAATTGATTCTGATATACAAGTCATTGATGACTTTGGAGATGTTATTAATTGTTGGAACTTGGAATGGAGAAGTGCCATGTACTACCTCCTTCCATTTCAAGTCTCTTTAACCACAATTTCAAAAATTAGTTATTAAATTATTTTTATTTTAAAGTGATGACTATGATACTCGAAAACTCATAAATTTGAAAGAATATTTAATACTTTTTTAAAACTGAGTGTTGTGATTCTTTCGATTAAAAAAATTTATATTTTTATAAACTATATCACTAATTATATATTTAATATTAAATCAATGATAATTATTTTATATGTCAAAGAATATAGAATTTTTTTTTAATTTATAAGGCATTATAAAAATTACTTTTATTTTAAAATTAATTATAATAGACATCATACTAGAAAGTGATGTGTTATATTTTAATGACTCGCGATAGAAAGACATACATACGTTATATTTTAGTGTATTATTCTTTTTTATTCTATTCTACACATTAAAAATTTGACACTTGATACAACTTAAGTGTTTAATGAGTTAGAATTTAAATTTTAAATATTAATTTTTTTCATTTAAATTAAGTTTTAAATTTGATTTTTTTTTTCATTTTAACTAATTTTGAATTTTGGGAGGGAAACAAAATTTTAAATTTCAATAAACTTTAAAGAAACATTTAAATTTAAATATCAACATTAAAAGATAGCATTTAAAATGTGTCATGTGTGTCAATTTTTAATATGTGAATCAAAATGAAAAGGAGTCATAATATCACGTGTCACTCACCACCAAAACATGATATGATAAATTTTTAATGTGAATTTAAAATTATTTATTAAAATTATTTTGATAAATAATTTTTAAAATTATTTTATTGTTGTTAAAAAAATTTCACATTTATTTAAACATCATTGATCATTATTAATAATTGAAATATTTTTTTATTTGTATTTTAATTCTTAAAATTTACTTATAGATATACAAGTTAGTTTTTCAAATTCATAAAACTTGTATAATTTTTTTAAGGATAGAATGAGAAATAAAAAAATAGATAAATTATGAATATTATAAATAATTATAATTTACGAAGATTTTAATAAGATAAACATTAAATGAAAAAGTGAGTACATTTATTATGTTGGAAAAAGAACATTTAATAATTAAAATAATTTATAGACATATAAACTACGAGCATTTACAATCATTTATTGAATTTAATTTTGATATATTGTTACTAAAAAAATTACATTATTTACATTGTTAAATAGTTAAAAATTATCGTAATCAAGAGTAGCTATTACCAAAGTCAATTATTATTAATGACATAAAAATGCATATTAATGTATTTTAATTAAATGCTTATTCTTTTAAGAAACCAACTCTTGTACATGGATAAAATTTAAATTGAAAGTTAGAATGATTTCTTAAATTGCATATTTACTTAAGAATTAATAGATAGACAGATAGATAGGACTTTTGAAATATGTATTATAAAATAACAATAAAAAAATATTTGATAATTTATTACAAATTTTTCTTGTGTAATCTAATAATTAGTTAGCATGTGTACATCAAAGAGGTGTTTACATGTTGGGTACTTATTAACTCAACCTAAACTAAAATTAATGAGTTAAGTTAGGCAATTAGGTTTTGATATTATTAATTCGATCAAGATTGAGTCAAATATCGTTTAAAACCTAATAAATTCAATCTAATCACACTACATATAAAACAAATTACATTATTATATAATATTTGTATTTTATTATTTTGATAATATTTTTAACACAAAATTTAAAAAATTAATATTATTTATATAATATTTCTTTTTTCTCCCTTTCATCTTCATCTTTTTATACTCAAAACTCTATCTTTTTGCCATTAACACCAAGCATCCACTCCCAAATCTCAAATCATAAACAAATTAACTTTCTAAATATCTATTTTTCATTTTTGACAGTCTGTGCTTATGTTCATATTGTTTCTAGAACACAATATTTTTGTTAATAACGGTTTGGGAGGTCATAGTAACATAAAAAATCAATAAAATAAAAAATTGGAACATGATTTCAAAGTTAACGAAGATGAAAAATGAGTATTAGAACGTTAGATTAGTTATGGTTTGAGAGTTGGGGATAGTTGCTTGATGTTAGTGGTAAGAAAATAAAATTTTGAGTATAAGAAGATGAAGAATAAAAGGTGACGGAGACAAGATCAGAGATTTGAAAAGGAAGACGATAAATAGTAATGTACAGTACATGTAACACAAAATAATAAAACTTTTTAATGGAGTGACGACCTTTAACAGAAAATGACTTATTTGAAACTTTTTAAAAAGTTAGAAGACTAAAATGAACTAAAAAGAAGCTAGAGGACAGAAGTAAATTTTACTCTAAAATTAAGGGACAAAAAGAGTAATTTTGCCTTTTATATATTATAATTCTTTTATGTTTCAAGTATAGACAGAATGATACAGTCTGTTCATAATTAGGTTGGATTGGATTGGATCGCATGCTAAAAAATTAAGAAATATCAATTCAATCTAATATGTTGTATTTTAATTGAGTTGGATAATTATTTTTAGTAAATACAACTCAATCTATTGTGTTAGGTGTTTAAAGGCGTGTATGTTTGTCTTTTTATATTTTCAAAATCATCTATTCTCTTCATTGGGTATGTTTATTTTTAATATGGCCCATAAAATTTATATATTATTTGAATTTTATAGGTTTTTAATCCTCAATTTATATAAAATTATATTTCATTGATTATATTGAAATGTTGAAATTTGAATTTAGAATATTCTTAAGATTTGGAGGAAATTTTTGATTAAATGCACATTTTCAACATTTTAAATATATTATAATTAATTGAGTAAATTATTTTATCTATTTATTTTTTATTTGATGACTGATTGTCGTAATAATAAAAATTAATTATAAATATGAGTAATTCAATTACTAAAATAAAATAAATTTAAATCTTGTTTTATATATATATATATATATATATATATATTATTTTATTTTTTGCTATATGGGAGTTAAAAGTTCAAAAAAACAAAACACTAATTGGGAGAGGAAAATTTTATGCTTAATTTAGCTAATATGTTAGCACATTGATTGACTTCCCTAAATATATGACCCAATCTAACAAATTTAACAAATCTCAAGTTGTTCATAACTTTACAAATTACATGAAACAAATAGTGTGAAATATAAGGCATGGATTGGATGCTTCTAAGTGCTTCCCTAGATTTTATTTCTATCCAATATGTGGTCTGGTCTTTTTTATAAAGAATAAGCTAAAGGCCATACTAGATGCCCCAAAGTTCAGCTTCCAGGGAGAACAAGGAGGTCAAGTCCTGTCACCAATCTGCTCTTCTAGTCACAAATAAGACCTCCATAAGTAGCAGCATGCATTTGGAGACAAACAACCTTGTTAGTATTCAACTTTAGTTAACCCTTTAGAGGAAGAACCCACTTAATCCTAGTTTGGTCCATGGTCAGTTTAGGGAGGTAGAGTTGTTTGTTCCTGCAATAAAAATTAGAATAGTCAACATCACGAATAATTTTTTGGATCAGGGTAAGAGCCTGATCAATCAAGCTATGAAAAACATAGGCCTTTCTGTCTTTCCACATGTGGCATAAATGAAATCAAATAGTCTGTGCTGGGTGGAGAATTTGTTAATGCTAGGATTAAATAGATTCTCATAAAACCAATCAGATAACTTGTAGAGAAAAATGATCCCAAATACTCCTAGCACAGTAACAATTCCTCAAACCATCCATTATTGTTTCAGGAGTAGTGCCACATCTAAGGCAAGTGGCTAGATCAGTCATTCTCCTCTTAACACTCTCCTCATTGGGAAAAAGTCTTCCATGAGAGATTTTCCAGAGAAAGAAAGTCACTTTGGGAGGGTCAGTACATTTCTATACATGTTTAAATACATCAGTGCAGAGGTTAGAAGAGTAAGGAGTCTAGGAAATCAATTAGTAAGCTAGTTTAGTAAAGAAGGAGTCATTAATAAAGTAGGTCTAGTAGACTGAGTCTTGCAGCCTGGATAAATTAGGAGACTAAACTTTGGCAATTTCCTCACAAATATGTTTAGGAAGCAAGGAATGAGGTTTATCTCAGTTCCAATTGCCATGGTAAGAAGAAAAGAACACAAGGATGTCCAAATCCCTTTGTGGAATAGAATGCAAAGAATGAGATTTCAGGTTGGAACAATTAGGGACCCATTGGTCCATCCAAAACCTAAGTGAAAGACTATTTCCTAGTCCTTAATTTTAGGCCTTTATCAAACAAAGGCCTGACAATTGCAATGCTTTTCCAAAAGGGGGAAACCCTATTATTATTCATAATTTCTAGGATTTTGGTCAATGTTGAATTTATATTTTTTACATAAAACTTAAACCCAGATGTCACTAGGAGAAGTGTAAAGCCTCTAACAAAGCTTCATAATGTAGGCTTTATAAAACATGGAGAGATCTCTAAACCCTAAATCTCCTTAATTTTTTGGCTTATAAATTTTATTCTAGCCAATAAGGTGACATTTTCTAGTGCTCAAGGATCCTCAAATGAATTCTTACACAGACTATTTATTTCCTTACAAATAACAATGAAATGATAATGGTTTGCGTTACATAAGATTGTATACTTATAAGACAAGACTAAGCAAAAACAATCCTACCAGATAGAGAGAGGGTTTTTGTCTTCCAAAGAGAGTTATCAAAAAGGAGAATTGAGACTTGGATGGTTGAAGGTAATTAATAGGAATGCCTAAATATTTGCCAAACTGATTGGTGGATTTAATGCCTAAAACATCACTAATCTCCTTCTAAGGCTAAGAGTGGTATTTTTAGAAAAGAACAGGGAGGATTTTTCACAGTTAATCTTCAGGTCAAAGGCTTGACAAAAAGAGTGCAGAATACTCTGGATAATAG